CTGCGCCCGGCAGCCAGTCATGGAGCCGGCCTCCCGCCCTCCCCTTCCTTCCTGGCCTCCTGCTTGTTTGTGCCGGAAGCCGGTCCTGGACCGGGACAGAGCCACAGCCTTGGGGACAGCAGCTGCGAGCGCCGGGGTCGCCTCCTCCCACGAGCGAAGATGCCACGAGCGAGGCACGGATGGAGGGAGAGGCCCACGGGCCGTGGCTGACGCCCTCTCGAAGGTCACTTCCTTATCTCGCTCCATGCCATAAACCAGGAATGTGACATCCCGGGGCGGATTCGCACGCGGCAGCGCCCACGGGGGAGCAGCGCACGGGGTCGCGGCTGCCCCGCGGTCACAGCGGCCCAGGCCGGGGCCGGGAAATGCTTTGCAAGGGAGGGACGTTTTAGCACAAATAAATACAGCAGAACAAAAGGTATTTTTGCAAAATGAAAAATAAACACTGCAGCGCGGGGTACGCGCGGGCACGCACGTACTGCAGGGGCGAACCCCAAACACGCGGCCCAGCCCCAGGCTTGCAGCAAATATTTAGGGCAAATCTCTGTTATTCCAACTGGGGAATTATTCTGACAGGAGAAGCCCGCGCCGGGGTGGCAGGTGCCCGTGTCGCGTCCCGCGTTAATCATTGACGAGACCGAAACCGAGCGGTATCTCCGGCAAACGGTGCCGCGAGGCAGGCGCAGCCCGGGGAGCCGCCTGGCCCTGGCTCCCGGCCCATCTGATGCAGCCCCGACCCTGTTTGTCTTTCGGGGAGTTTGTGCCGGGCCGGGCCAGCCCCGCGCCCGCACAATCGCGGTCCAGCCAGGACAAGTGTTGGGTGGAAAAAGCAAGCACAGCCCCAGCCCTGGTACCTGCCGGTCCCGCGCACCGGCTTGTCCCGACGGCAATAACACAGCACTGGGACCTGCTCCAAACCCTCTCAGCCCCATCCAACCCTGGGAAGAGCCCCAGGATGCTCCCTCCGGCTCCCGGCGGGATGCTCAGGATCCCGGTCCGTACCACGCTCCCACTCACCCACTCCTCCACGTTGGGGCCCTCCTGCACCACCGGGATCTTGTCCCAGTAGATGTTCGGCTTCCCGTACTTCCAGATCTTGCTCCGCGTCTTGTGGGCAAAGAAGCAGATGAGGCAAAGCAAGATGACGATGAGGAAGCCACAGACGATGGCCACAGCCTGCAGGAGAAGCAGGGACTGAGACATGGGGGTCCTGCAGCGCCACGGGCCACCCAGATATCCCACACTTAAGCCCAGAGCTGGAAAAGGTGGGAATGGTTCCAGTCCCAGAGCCCCAAGCAAGGCAGCAGAACCAGTGCAAGACTCCCTGCATGGGGAAGCCACGGGGAGCACAAAGCTCATTGCAGATTCAGGGACAATGAGGATTTGGGGACAGCACTTGCATCGCAGAGCCTGGTAGCACAGGGCTCCGGTGCCTTCCCGGCAGCCTGGACTTGGGAAAAGCCGTGCAACAGGGCTGGGTTCCCAAGAGCCAGTTCCCCCCGGCCCCACCACAATTTCATAGAATCATAGAATGCTGAGGGTTGGAAGGGACCTCTAGAGATCATCCAGTCCAACCCCTGCACACGCAGGGTCACCTAGAGCACGTGGCACAGGGCTGCGTCCAAGCGGGTTTTGAAGATCTCCAGAGAAGGAGACTCCACAACCTCTCTGGGCAGCCTGTTCCAGTGCTCTGGCACCCTCACTGTGGCGCCGCGCACCATCCCGGCTGAAATCGGCGCTGTTGGACCTCGCTCTGCAGCAGGTCCTGGCTCCCTCCCCACTGAGCGGGCGCACAACGAGCCGGAAGAGCCACTGGGACCCCCACGATTCAGCCCCAAGGCAGCACCGAGCTGAGCGCATCCCATCTCCATCCCCATCCTCTCCTAGGAGGATTCAAACTCTTCTACAGCCAGAGGGATCAAAGCACCGGGTCCCACCAGGCACCTGCTCATCCCTCCCGGAATATCCCAGCTCCTCTGCCCGCCCTGGTGCTGGTCCCACTCTCTGTGCATCACACGGACACCCCTGGCACCCACCTCCTGGGGGTCCACGGTGCAGTAGTGGTACAGGTACTGGTTGAGGTAGGTGCCACTGCTGTACACCTGGTTGCACAGGGCCAGCAAGGGGCTGTAGTAGTAGCTGCTCGTCATCTGCGCCTGGGGGTTCACACCCATGATGTAGACGATGGAGGCAATGAGCATGATGAAGGCCAGTATGGCACAGACCACAATGACCACCAGGTAGAAGCGGC